GGAATGGTAAATCACTATAATAATTAAAATAAAAGGTAATCAGTATAATAAAGTACCCACACACATACTCTCTCTCAGACCTTCACTCTATATATATAGCACAGTACTACATAACATGTACAAGCCCTAACTCCCTAAGTCCCTAACCAGACCCTATCAAGTCCCTATCTGACTCACACCTCATTCACTCCCCCTTAAATACCCTAGCTCCACCCTCTTATGTCCCACCTCCTGTCACGCTACTGGCAGATGACAAACAACCATAGCAATGACGGGCAGATGACATCACCGATACTGTAACAATTGGTATAAAAATAGCTGAGACTATGGAGCTGTTTACCTAGTCTCTCTCAGGAGAATGCTATGTTTGCCTATTATTCTGCTGCACTCTGTATATGCTCTGGAACGATGCTTCAATTTAACTACACAGTATGTATTGGTGTAGGTCAGGTAGTTTTCCTATTTTCTGTGGGGGCTATTTTAGAATTAGCTAACTTCTTAAATGTTTGATATGGACTTGCTTCCCATCCTTTTGATTTCCTTTAAAGTTCTGAATTTGGTTTTGAACTTTTAATTTTTTTTTGCAACATCTTTAATAAAAATATTTTAAAAACCAGATGTTTGTTTATTCTGACACGAAGGGGTTGGTCATACTGAAGAAGGTGCCTCATTCTCAGGATCCTGAACACTGTGGGCATTTTGATATTCCTGCCTGGCAAGGTTGGCTTCTGGTCTTAAGTAAGCACAGAGAGAGGGGGAAAGGCACAAAGCGATTGCCCAGCTCCGGCTTTCCCCCTCTCTCTATGTCCGGTGGGGCCACAGAGGGAGGGGGAAAGGCACCAAAGCCATCGCTCAGCTCCAAAGGGTGAAGGAGGAGCTGGTGGGCTGGACAGAACAGCAAAGTGGGCCAGATGTGGCCCACAAGCCGTAGTTTGAGGACCCCTGAATTAGATGATTCAGAATCATTATTTCCAGGACTTCAGACCAAGCTCACTGCTTTATCATCTTTACAAAGTTTTGGGCTTGTGGGTTTCCCCAAATTTTTTGAATCCCAAGAGAGTCAAGACAATTATTAAATAAATTAAAATCTGCAGTGATTTTCAGATCTGCATTAATGAGTTGATTGGCTATTTGATTTGCTGAAATGTTTGCATGGCTAGGACCTTTTCGATCATTGTGTTAAGATGGTTTAATAATCTCCAGATCTTTTGATTGTTTCTTGACATGTGTATGAATTTTCTCCAATTATCTGCTTCAGTTTCTGAGACCAAAATAATTAATTGTTGTCCAGCCAAAATGGCTTCTTCACTCAAGGGATTTTGTTCAAGTACTGAGAAGGAACCATTGACTAGCTGTCTCTGAGTACAATTCTGTAACCATCTCCATATTCCCCTCACAGTTGTTCTATTCAGCCCACACCTAGTTAGCTTGCTAATCAGAATATCACAGGACACTTTGTCAAAACCTTTGCTGAAGTTAAGATATATTGTGTCTACAGCATTCCCACCATCTACCAAGGAGGATACCAGATCAAATTATGAGATAAGATTAGTCTGGCAGATTTGTTCTTAACAAATCCATGTTGGTGTCTACCCTGTTTACCCGAAAATAAGACCTAACCTGAAAATAAGCCCTAGTATGATTATGCAGGATGCTCGTAATATAAGCCCTACCTCAAAAATAAGCCCCAGTTAAGTGAAACCCCGCCTTCCACCATTGTGCAGCAACAAGAAGAATATGACTATTTATTTATTTATTTA